TCGATTGCAATCCCATCCTTATTCAACAACTCAGCAAATACTATCATCTCCAGCACCCAAACCTAACTTAACTGCAGATTCTGTATCACAGGTAATGTCATATATTTTCCAATATATTTTGTCCTTTGTTTTTCATTTCTGACTTGTATAATTTTTATCTTACATTACTTTGTAAAATCTTTGACAGGCATTACTAGATTTCAAACTAAAGATCATTTTGTTACTATTTACAATTATCAGTATTCCTAATCTTAGAAGATTTAAAACATTGTTTGATAAATGATAGGATGTATATATGTTATTTTTATCATTATTTTTTTCTTATAGATCTATTGATATTTTATTTAGATGTATGTTCAAGATGTGGCATTGCCTTCTAGTAGCAACAGGAATAAGAAAAATGCTGGTAGGGCACAGAACTTTTCCAGTAGAATTTCTTTGAAGTCTTCTCACAGTGACGATAGACAAGGTTGGAATGAAGCAAACACAAGGCAAATTGAAGGTAAGGCACATTTGAATCCTGTGATAGATTGATTTTCATGTATAGTCTTCTAAATTTATGCAATGAATATTTATTTGTATCTTTCTTTTGTATAGTCAAACACATGAACTGATATGAGTTAACTTTTTGTCAGAATGAATTCAAAGAGTTCAACTTACAAAAGGCCTTCTATGATATCTATACTCCTTCCTAAAAACTTATTCTTAATTTGCACTTTCTTGTATAGTTTACTCTTTGTAAATGATAAAATATCTGATATTTTCTCTAATATTATTATAAGGTATTATTAATTTTTATCAGGCTTATATTAATTTTCTCAGAAATATTATAAGGTCATTCAAAATTTATATTCAACAGTATTTTTAAAGAACATAAACTGCAATATGAATTAAGTATTTTGAGACCAGTCTGCTAATATAGTACTGGACTTAAATTCTTAAAGTTGAGGTACCAAAGAGGAAAGTTCTTATATTGAAAAATGACTCAATTTTTACTTCATGCAACATTTAGCAACAAATTTAGTGAAATGCAAAGTATTTTTTTTAATGATTTATCTGCTAAAAAGCAATTTTAGTTATAAATTTATGATTACTTTTTTCAAAGGCTATTCTAGGCTGATACTAGATTCTTTGGAATCTTGTAAACATTAATTCTGGTTTCCAATATTTATTTTAACATAGATTTCCTTGGTTCAAAATGCATTTTATATCTGAGAAAAACTTGTCTACAATATACAACAAATTAATATTAAATTTTATTTATTGTTTATTAGTGATATTTTACATAATGCAAACATAATTTTAGCTTTGACAAAATAAAAAAATAAAACATCTTATCAATTTTAATATATTATTATAATGCTAATGAAAATAATTTGAATTGAAACTTTTAATATAAATTTGCATGTTACTAATAATATTACCAGGAGGTATCATGTAACCTATGTTCATAATAGTTTTAAAATGGAGATCACGTGATTTTACGAGTTGCTCATTATTTTAAAAACTTAGAAAAAGCTTTTTATGTATAAACTCTTGAAACACTTACATTTTCTTAAAAATCCCAACCCAAAGTATTGCAAATTTACAAAGAAAACTAAATGATCTCATAAGTGTTAGCATCTATTTGGTTAGAGTATATTCAATTTAAACTTTTTCTATAAAATATTTTGTACTGTTCTGTGAATAAAACTGAAGAAATCATTTTTTTGTTTAAGTAATTGATGTTCAGTATGTATTAAATAAAATAGAATTGGTCAAATAGGACTAATAATAATCTCAGAAATTGTTTGGCTTTGGTAATGTTGTGTGATCTTTAAATTTGAGTAATAAGAATTGATTGCAATTCTCAGATAATTTTCTTCTTTTTTCAGGTGTATACCCATCCCAGTATTGTAATCCTCCTCCTTCACAATCTGATCACCATCAGATAACAGAGATGAGACCCTTAGGACAGACTGTCAACTACCCCAGTGATACAACAATAGTAGCAAGAGGTTTCTACACACCTTACATGAATGAAAACAGTTCCCATGTAGATCCAAAGTCTGACTCAGGTGGTGACAACAATAGTTCATCTGGTAGACATTTATACTCAAGAAATGTATCTGCAAGTGGTAGTCAGTCTTCAATCAACAGACCTCTGCCTCCACTGCCCTCTTAAAAGTCATGAGCCAACATTTTAGTATTCACAGACACTCTGGAATATTTACCCCCCCCACACACACACACTCTATGCTATTCAAAAATAATACTTAAGACAACTAGATTTCATTAAACATAAACATGAAAAAATGCTTTACTTTCAGATGAAAAATTACAACTTTTAGTTATATTCTTTAGACCAGATTCCTACTTTTGAAAATTCTAAAATTCCATTGTTTTTAAAAACATTTCTTGGTATCCATGCTTGTACTACAAAGTATGACAGAGTATTTTTAATTAATGAAGCCTTCTTTGATTTTATTCTAAGTCAGGATTTGTTTAGATATTATCTAAAAATGAACACATTACATTTCCATTCTTTAAATTAATTTTTCTCAGGAACATTTATTTTTAAACAATTTGAATTTCAACAACTAATAAAAGTTTCCATTTAAAGCTTACTTTAAATGAACTTTTTTGCTGCTATATTTCTAGTTATACAATTTTGTAACACCTGAATTACTCTGACCAATTCATAGATATAAAAAAATGAAAGTGCTATTATTATTTTACAGTATTAATTTACAAATAATGATTATAAAAATGACTTTTAAAATAAACCCTTTTGAAATTTATATCAGTATCAGAACTTGATGACAAAAGTAATTATTCTCATGTTTTCTAGATTACTTTAAGAAATAATGTTAGCATGAGCCAGGCTTAACAGAAGGAGGAAAGTAGTGTGTGACGGAAGAATAGCATTTTTACATTGCATTTTGGGAATTTATTTTCTTCTTTAATTTAAATTTACTTTAATATTGATACACACTTCTATTTTTGTTTTACTTTTTCAATATAATATCTATAGAGAAATTTATTAAGAAAAAAATATTTGGATGGTTAAAATTAAGATCTATTGTCACAGTTTGGTTGCCGATACTTTGGTCTGCTCTATAAAGAGTGCTTATAGCAGCCATTTTACAGACTACACACTACATAGAACTGCTGGATAGTGTATAAAATGAAACAAAAGAACATGTCACTATGGTGGAATAAAACATCATCATAGGAAGTATCTATTTGGTGTAACAGCTTTAAGAACAAAGGTAAGTTGCTTTTATCCAATTCTACTATTTTCTATATCTTCTGGAACAAGATTAACAAGATATATATGTGTAAAGTTAAATTCTGAGATATTTATCATCAGTCCTAATGTGAAAAAGATTCATGCATTACATAAATTTAATGAAAATAACAAAATATTGAATATTTCTGTAAAATATTAAGCATTCTGTTTATTGTCTTTTCATGCAGCCTTTTTTATTTCCATATTTGTGTTAGTGATTATTTTAATGATTTTCTTCATGATGATATTTTTATGCATGTTACATGAATATATAGAAATTTATGGTAAAGTTTGAGGAAATCTGTGCTTGTGATTTTTTTTGCCTTGCTATATATATATATATATAATTATTTTAAAATTAAAATGACAATGTTTATTGATTTATTTCTAAACTTCTGCCTCGTCTAATGATCTTTTATGAAACTATTAAGGTTTTTTTCTGTATATTTTTACTTTTTCTATCAGTTGTTTTCACATTATTGTAAGCTGTTCTGTCTTTTATAAGATGTTTACTCCTAGAGTTTGTGTGTAAAAGATCTATACACAGTGTATGCCACAGACAATATCTTAGATGTTTTTCTATGATATTCAGCATAATTTCTCTTATCATTTTTCATACATTGTTCTTTTTTTCTTAGAATATCAATTTCACTTTCAATCTTTGCTCTGTCAATAATTTTTAATGCCTACTGTATGTGTTTCTTAAGATTTAGATTAAATTATTATGAACTCACTGTTTTATTTTATCTTTGCTATTTTTCTCATTTAATGGAAAATTAAAATTATAAATTGTTTGTTTTTAAAATTTTTGCCATCACATATTTAATGAATAAATTAATAATAGCATGAATTAATTTTTGTTCTCAGTTTGAATTCTCTTTTTATTTTATGTTTCTTCATTCAAGACATTTCTATATAGAACTTCACAAAAATTATTTAAACCATTGACATAACTGTTTTCATTTATATTACTCTCATAATATTTGTAAATCTGTTAATTTTATGAAATATACTCTTGAAATTTACAAGATTGCTTATCAGAAATAAAAATGAAATTGGTTTATGATTTTTTTTTCAAATTACTCATAAATTGATTGCAATTTTTGGTTTCCTCTCTCATAATTGTTATTTTGTTCAAATGATTTTTTTACAAGGAATATAGAATTTCATGTAATTAATTTGTTATATATTGAATATGTTTCAAAAATATATTTATCATTTATGCATGTTGCCTAAATTTTCTCTAACGATTCAGTATTCATTTATTATAATAAAAAATTTAATTTATCCATATCCAATGCAATATTATTTATTGAAATATTTTTGCAGGGGTACAAAATTTTATTACAGCAAAGCAAATCTGACATGTTAAAAGAACATTTGTAGTAAAAAAAAATGTGTGTTACAATTTACAGTAATCTATATCAAATTGATAATACAGAAATATAACTGATTAAAAAAAAGCTAAACTAGTTTATCAGTCTTCTCTCATCAGGATAAAAATTTATATTGTTTGCATATAACATTTGTCTGGGGTTGTACATTTTTCAGTCAGTGAATATTTATTTTCCAGTCGTATTTATCACCGATGCAAATATTTCATTAATTTGAATGTAGAATTTTTAACTAGAATATTTTTTCTTTCATATTTCAGAAGTATTGCAACATTCGTGTCACATAAAGTAATATTGTTATCATCAAAACAATGGTACTAAAAGTGTATATTGTGATGATTACTTGGTCTCTCTCTCTCTGTATAGACCTCACATATTATGTTGAAGAAGGGAAAGGACCTGGTACCTATTTAGGAGATATAGGTACTGACTCAGATGTGATGAAGGATACTACTCCAGAAGAACATAATCAGATTACATTCAGCCTATTACAACAAGGACATACTGGTGTCTCACCAATGTTTAAAATTTCAGAAGAATCAGGAAAACTCTACACAGCTCAAACTCTAGATGCTGAGTCTATTTGCACTTTTAAAAAAGAATGTTTTCAAATGGTTGACATTGCTGTTCAAAAAGCAACAACTGTTTTTAAGTTGTTGGAAGTCAAAGTGATTATTCAAGATATCAATGATCATCAGCCTGAATTTCCAAATAAACAAATCAACATTGAATTTTCCGAAACTGATAGAAAAGGAATCACAAAAGTTATCACTAATGCAATGGACAGAGATGTTGGCATTCTTAATTCTCAAATAACTTATCATCTGAAAAGAAAGAAAGATGAACCGTTTTCATTATCAGTTGCCAAAAATGTGGATGGTACCTCAAAATTGGATATAAATTTGGAAAGCCAGCTTGATAGAGAATTAAAAGATTCCTATACAATTCAGGTTATTGCAAAAGATGGTGGATCTCCACCAAAACAAAGCACATTAGATGTTCATATAACAGTTACAGATGTCAATGATAATGCTCCAATCTTTACTCAGAATGTTTATAATGTTAGTGTTAACAATATACTTGATATTAATAAAGCTATAGCAATTTTATCAGCAAAAGATTTAGATTCAGCTGAAAATGGAATAATTTCCTATTATTTCAGTAGCAAAACATCAGAAATTGCTAAAAACATTTTTCAAATAAATGAAGATACTGGAGAAATTTTCTTCATTAAAAAGATACCATTTATGCAACAGTCAACATATGAATTATATGTTAAGGCTGAGGATAAAGGCAAACCTCCTCTCAGTTCCATTGTAATGGTTCTAGTGAATTTAATCAACCAACAGAATAATGCCCCAAGCATTAAAGTAAATTTTGTCTCAACATCAAAAGACAACACTGTTGATGTTTCTGAAGACATAAAAGTTGGTAGTTTCATTGCTTATGTGAAAGTGATTGATCAGGATATTGGAAAAGATGGAGAGGTTAATTGTTACCTTGAACATAACAAATTTCAGCTTCGAAATATGGGCACTCAGAAGTATCAAGTTATAGTAAAAGAATATTTAGATCGAGAGAGAAATGACCATCATGATATCATCATCCATTGTCAGGATCAAGGGTCCCCTCCATTGAAAAGTAAGAGCAAATTCTCAGTTCAAGTGACAGATGTTAATGATGTCCAACCCCAGTTTGCAAAGCAGTTATTTAAATTCTTCATTGATGAAAACCAAAGATCCAAAATCCCTGTTGGCACCATAAATGCAACTGATCCAGACTTGGGACTTGGAGGTAAATTGTCTTTTTCTCTGCTGACTACTAATAAACAGTTTGTACCATTCAGAATCACTGAAAATGGATTGATCTCTTCAATTATGTCTTTAGATCATGAGTTTCAAGATACTTATAAATTTCAAGTATTTGTAAAAGACAAAGGAACTCCATCATTGAATAACACAGTGAATGTGATTGTTAAGGTGAGAGATGAAAATGATAATGCTCCATATTTTACATTTCCCAGTGTTAATCCTTATAATATGGATGTAATATATTATCCACATCATACAAAGAACATCACCCAAATCAAGGCATCAGACAGTGATAAACAAGAGAATGCATTTCTCAAATATGAAATAATCAGAGGCAATAGCAAACAAATATTCAATATCAATCAGTACACTGGTTTGTTATCTTCAACTCATGTCCTAAGCCAAAAAGATGCTGGTTCCTATGAACTGGAATTTCTAGTGAAGGACAGTGGTAGCCCAGTTCTATCAGCTAGAACGACTGTATACTTGACATTGACCGTAAGCAACAAGACATCAGAAATGTTAAATGCTGTTAACATAAAGACTGATAATAAGATCCACCTGACTTCAGCAATTATCATTGTATCAGTAGCAGTGACAATAGCTGTGATCATTACAGCTTCAATCTCAGTGTGTATCCTTCGTTGTTGTAATCCTCGAACTGTTCCACTGCCTGAAGGCAATTATGTGAGTGGTCAGAGACATTTAATAAGTCCTCCTTACCCAGCCAATCCTTGGTCCAATATTGCTGTTCCTACATCAAATGCTGATATGAGAGGAAATAGTCAGCCACCAACACCTCGATTGCAATCTCATCCATATTTAACAAATCAACAAATATTATCATCTCCAAAGCCACAATCAGCTGCAGATTCTGTATCAGAGGTAAGTCCAGTACAGTTATAAGTTTTTTTTGCTGTAAAAATTTATGGATTCCTTGTTTAAATTTACTACATGCAATTCTTTAACATCACTCTATTTCCTTAGACTCTTTATATAAAGATTACAATATTTAATTATTCAGAATTATATAATTTGCATAAAGAAATTTTGCAATTTATCAAAATATAAAATTGCAAATATTCTGTCTGACTATTATAATTTTTTAATTCTGTCTTATTTTAAAAGAAAAATTGATGTTTATTATTTTTAATTATTGAAATTAATGAAGAAAGATGTCAAATGTATTGAAAGTTTTTTTCTTTTGTTTCAAAAACCTGGGCTCATAATATGAGGAAAGTGATTAAATGTGTAAAAAAAGAAAAATCTATAAATAGAACAGTTTTTATTATATTTATGTAACTGCCTGAAAGCTTGTTAAATTCCATTTCACTGCTGATCAATTTTCAAACATTTTTATGGATCCATATTGTAAAATAGTAAAATTGAAAAGGACATTTTTCACACTCTTGCTGTACAAAATAATTTCGAATTAATTGGGGATCACTTTTATATCCATGCTTACTTCATTTGAAGTTTCTAAATTGTATTTCCCATTTTCATCAGGCATTTTAACTTATCAATTTAGATTTATAATTCACTGTAAAATTTATAGAAATTTAGTTACTAAATATACCAATATGTAATTAAATTTCTTTAGCATGAAATATTTCCCTTCATGAATCATATCTGTTTGCTTAAATTCTCTCAATAGACTGACAGAAGTAGTGCTGCCTTATTTTGCTGTCCACTAATTTATCTAAACATAAGCATAAATTTGTATGAAGACATCACAATATGTTAACCTACACTGGCACATAGAATATTATTTTTACAAATCCTCACAGTTCAATGATTTGTCTTGTTTCCTGATAAATGTAACAATCATCTTTTTTTTAAAACAAGATTCATTTGATGAAATCACTTAGTACAGAAATAGGAGGAGAACCAGGGATAAAAAAAAAATTAATTTTATTCAATCATTCTTTGATATGCTTATACTTGTCAACTGACAGTACTTTAAAAAAAACCGATGTAAGGGAGGGCACTCTCATAATACATTCTGGTTTTAATATATAGATATTGATTTTACCATGCTGGAACATGTATATATTCTCATGGACAGATTCATGTAAATAGTCCTTTTTCTAGTTAAAGAATGAGGATGTTAATATAGCCATCTCAGCAGTTTTGCTTTCAGAATACTTTCTATTATGAGAAGAAATTAAAATTTACAAAAGCAGAATTATATTTTATGTGGATGTTTAATTATTTTTTAAATGTAAATCAGCATCTTTTTTTTTCTGTCTCATTTTATTTTCAAATCAATATTGAAGACATAATGATAAAAATATCTGTAGTTTTTACAGATCTTTATATACATCTGATACATTTTATTATATTTTTTCTCTGCAGTTTGTTCATTTCTTATTTTGAAAGTTACATTAGTTTTATATCAAAAATAAAAATAAACTCAACACTCAGTTTTATTAAGGATAAATTTGTAATTCTTCAGTACCATAAGTACCATAAAAAAGTAGTGAGGAAAATTATTAACAATAGTAGAAATTAAATTATATTTGAAGAATTTGAATCAAGGTAAACAAGTTTATGATAACCTTGAATGCGACTTGCACCTTAAAACCAATGTTGGATAATCTTTTAAATTTCTTTGTTAATTTGTGATTACAGATCATGCTCATTGTAGGAATATTATATAACTTACTCCTCTTTTTTTTTTCAGATGTATCTTCAGGATGTAGCATTGCCTTCTGGTAGTGGCAGAAATAAGAAAAGGACTGACAGGAGACAAGATTACTCCAGTAGACAATCTATAAAGTCTTCTCAAAATCAGAATAGACGTGGCTGGAGTGAAGAAGAGACATTACAAACAGAAAATATAACTGGTAAGTTCAAAAAGCCTGAAGAAAAAAATGATATATTTGTATTTTAATATTTTATTGCTATTTTGTGAGTATTAATAAAAAGAATTATTGGTTTAATTTTAAAATGTTGTGAGATGCAACAATCTTTTATTATAATTTTTTGTTGACAAATGAATGTGTTTTTAAAAAAAAAGAAATCTGAAAGAAGCATTCACACTGAATTATACCCCAACTTGAAATTTCAAGTTTAGTAATAAAAAGTAAAGAACGAGTTTTGTTTATTATGAGATTAAATCTATTCTATTACTTCACTATAGCTGTCCATTTTATATACATTACATATGCTTCTATGTGGATATATGTATAGTCTATATTAATATTTTTTTCACTAATTATAAAATGGGTGACTGTTAGAGAATAAAAATAACTTCTCTTACATTTTTCAGATACAAGTCCTTCTCAATATTGTAATCCCCCTCCATCACAAAGTGACCTACAACAGACACCAAGGATGAGGCCCTTGGAACAAACCATCAGTTATCCCAGTGATACTACAATTGTGGCAAGAGGTTTCTATACACCCTACATGAATGATAGTAATCCCCAAACAGATTCAAAGAATTACTCAGATCTCGATAGTGGTAGTACTGGGAGAAATTTACAATCAAGGAATGTACCTGCAAGTGGTAGTCAGTCTTCTATTAACAGACCACTGCCTCCTGTACCTCACTAATTCCACCCTTCTTAGGTGTCCATATTGAATGATTTTCTCATACAAATACCTGCAAACTCTTAAAAACCTATACCTTATGGCTGTTGTATGAAAGTCATATATCTCAACTTAAATAAAAATACAATTATTTTCACTAAAAAATATTTGTTTTTACAGTAGCAAACTCATTTTGATAATTAATTATAAAATTAATTTCATAAAATTACAGTTTGTTAATTTATATTTTCCATTTTATTTAAATATAATTATTCCAATTTCAATGTATAATAATAAAACCCATAAACAAGTAAAGTTGATCATATAATCTTAAAATAATTTTGGATTCAGTTAGGTATTCTACGTGATCCATGCATACAAGTTCTAAATAAACATAAAAATACTGCCATTTTTTTTTCTAATAAAGTTTATCTAGATTTTATGTTTTCATTCTTTCTTCCCAAAAACTAGATTTTGAGTTTCAAATAGAATATCAGAATTTTTTTTAATAAAGAACAACCTAAAAGACAAAATTAATTTATTTTGATTTTTTAAATAATATCCAACTGGAACAGCCTACTGAAGCAGCAATAGAAAGAAGAAAGTAGATCTTGGCAGAAGAATAGCCTTAATTTTATATTGCATTGCTAGAATTTATTATATTGTTTATTTAAGTAAAAATTACATGATTTTATAAATAATTATGTTTCTGATTTTTTTATGAATTTCTATCATTTTATAGTCTTGAATAAGATAAAAAAAATAATATTGATATTTAACTGTTACATAGTTTCCATTCAATCACGAATAACTGGGCTACTACATAGTGTAGCAGCCATTAGACGGGCAGCACACTACATAGGACGGCTATTTTTGTTCTAAGATAAAATATAAAAGGGACAATAAGATGTTGGATTATAGCATCATTATGAAAGATCTTCTAACTGATATAACTTCTATTTGATGTGAGAGGATTTAAGAACAAAGGTAAGTTGGCATTTGGTTTTCTATATTTTCTTTGTGTTCTATCATAAAACATGCAAGAAAAATAAGGAGAAAAAAATGAGACAGACCATTGTTCTATTAACAGTTACATTTGAATAAAACTAGAAAAATAGACTCTTTTCTTTTTCAATGAATTATTTACAAATTTCTGACATTTTTGCTTAAAATGATTTTTTCCATTCTCCTTGAAATATAGTAAGCAAAAAATTTTTATCCTTTGTTTTTTTTTCTCTAATATATGTAATGGCTTATTTTTTAAAATCTATAAAATCCTTTATGTATACAAGTTGGCAATGCTTTCTTTTCATAAATTCTGAAGTCTGTTCAGTATTCTTGTATTAATTATAAACAAATAATGTTGCATATGGCTGAATCTTTGTAATATTGTTTTTTTAATATCAAGCAATTATTATTATTGTATATTAGTTTTTCTATCATTTTCAACTCACATTGTGAAAATAGTGACTACAGTATTTATGAGGCTTATGAAAATTTAGATAAAATAATTTAAGGTAATATTTCAAAATCTTTATTTGATATTCAGTGAAGATTTATTACAATAAATACATATTTCTGTAGGTGTTTTGCGAATTTATAAATTTGTGTTTATGAATCAATTTATATCTCATTCCACAGACTAAATAATATTTCAAGTGATATCTATTAAACTGTAAATTTTTATAATTTCTAAAAATTTCTAATAGCTATTATTTGTCAATTTCAGAAGAACATCAGCAATTTGAAGTTATTTTTTTTATAAGATGTTCACCAAGATTTACATTATATTCACTATTGTGCACATTTGTGTATGTGTGGATCTTACTTATTACATGGAAGAAGGGAAAAGTCCAGGTACTTTCCTGGGAGATGTTGCTATTGACTCACAAGTAATGAAGGATATCTCCTCTCAAGATGTTCACCATATTAGTTTTGGTCTTCTGCAAAAAGGGGCTATTGGTACTTCACCATTATTCCGCATCTCTGAGAAATCTGGCAAACTGTACACTGCTCAAACTTTAGATGCAGAGTCTCTCTGTCTCTTTAATAAAGAATGCTTTCAAATGGTAGATGTGGCAATTAGAAAAGCAACTACTGTGTTTAAATTATTAGAAATCAAAGTGATTATTAAAGATATCAATGATCATCAACCAGAATTTGTTGAAAAACAAGTAAACCTCAAGTTTGGTGAAAATGATAGAAAAGGAGCAAGACAGTCAATTCCAAATGCAATTGACAAAGATGTGGGAATTATTAATTCCCAAATTAGCTATGAACTTAAAAAACATAGAGAACAACCTTTTTCTTTATTTGTATCTAAAGGTGTTGATGGCACATCAAAACTGAGTATAATTCTAGAAAAACCTCTTGATAGAGAAGTAAAAGACTCTTATAAGATTCAAGTAATTGCTAAAGATGGAGGTTCTCCACCCAAGCAAAGTGCTTTAATTGTTGATGTTACTGTCACAGATGTCAATGATAATATTCCTGTTTTCTCACAGAAAGTTTACAATGTTTCTATTCACCATAATCAAGAAGAAATGAAGCCTGTTACTTTATTATCTGCAACAGATTTAGATTCAGGAAAGAATGGTAAAGTTTCATATCACATCAGTGTGAAAACAAATGAAATGACCAGAAATGCCTTTAAACTGAATGAGCAAACAGGTGAAATCTTTCTAAATAAGAAAATTACTTTAAGAAAAGATATGACATATGAATTATATATTGAAGCTTCAGATGGAGGTAATCCTCCTTTGAGTTCATTAGCAAAAGTTTTGATAAATGTGATCAATGAACAAAATAATGCCCCAATTATTGATGTGAACTTTTTCTCTACATCAAAAGAGAACACAGTTGATGTTTCTGAAAACATAAAAGTTGGCAGTTTCATTGCTTATGTGAAAGTGAATGATGAAGATGCTGGTCAAAATGGTGAGGTGAACTGTGAAATTGAACATGATAAATTTCAATTACAAAACATGGGAACAAAGAAATACCAAGTGATAGTGAAAACTCTTTTAGACAGAGAAACTGAAGAGCACCATAGCATAAGCATCATATGTCAAGACAAAGGATCTCCTCCTCTAAAAAGTAAAAGAAAATTTTCTGTACATGTCATTGATGTTAATGATGTACAGCCACAATTTTCCAGAGATACTTTTAAATACTTTATTGATGAGAATCAGAGATCCAAAATTCCTGTTGGTACCATCAATGCTACAGATCCAGACTTGGGACTTGGAGGCAAATTATCATTTTCTCTGCTAACTGCCAATAAACATTTTGTACCCTTCCGAATCACTGAAAATGGATTGATCTCTTCAATTATGTCTTTAGATCATGAGTTTCAAGATACTTATAAGTTTCAAGTATTTGTAAAAGACAAAGGAACTCCATCATTGAATAACACAGTGAATGTGATTGTTAAGGTCAGAGATGAAAATGATAATGCTCCCTATTTTACATTTCCCAGTGTTAATCCTTATAATATGGATGTAATATATTATCCACATCATACAAAGAACATCACCCAAATCAAGGCATCAGACAGTGATAAACAAGAGAATGCATTTCTCAAATATGAAATAATCAGAGGCAATAGCAAACAAATATTCAACATCAATCAGTACACTGGTTTGTTATCTTCAACTCATGTCCTAAGCCAAAAAGATGCTGGTTCCTATGAACTGGAATTTCTTGTGAAGGACAGTGGTAGCCCAGTTCTATCAGCTAGAACAACTGTATATTTGACACTGACCATAAGCAACAAAACATCAGAAATGTTAAATGCTGTTAACATAAAGACTGATAACAAGATCCACCTGACTTCAGCAATTATCATTGTATCAGTTGCAGTGACAATAGCTGTGATCATTACAGCTTCAATCTCAGTGTGCATTCTTCGTTGTTGTAATCCTCGAACTATTCCAGTGGCAGAAGGCAGTTATGTGAGTGGCCAGAGACATTTAGTTAGCCCTCCCTACCCAGCCAATCCTTGGTCCAATGTTGCTGTTCCTACATCAGAGGCAGATATGAGGAGAAGCAGCCAGCCGCCAACACCTCGATTGCAATCCCATCCTTATTCAACAACTCAGCAAATACTATCATCTCCAGCACCCAAACCTAACTTAACTGCAGATTCTGTATCACAGGTAATGTCATATATTTCCCAATATATTATGTCCTTTGTTTTTCATTTCTGACTTGTATAATTTTTATCTTGCATTACTTTGTAAATTCTTTGATGGGCATTATTACATTTCAAACTAAAGATCGTTTTGTTACTATTTTACAATTATCAGTATTCCTAATCTTAGAAGATTTAAAACATTGTTTGACAAATGATAGGATGTATATATGTTATTTTTATCATTATTTTTTCTTATAGATCTATTGATATTTTATTTAGATGTATGTTCAAGATGTGGCATTGCCTTCTAGTAGCAACAGGAATAAGAAAAATGCTGGTAGGACACAGAACTTTTCCAGTAGAATTTCTTTGAAGTCTTCTCACAGTGACGATAGACAAGGTTGGAATGAAGCAAACACAAGGCAAATTGAAGGTAAGGCACATTTGAATCCTGTGATAGATTGATTTTCATGTATAGTCTTCTAAATTTATGCAATGAATATTTATTTGTATCTTTCTTTTGTATAGTCAAACACATGAACTGATATGAGTTAACTTTTTGTCAGAATGAATTCAAAGAGTTCAACTTACAAAAGGCCTTCTATGATATCTATACTCCTTCCTAAAAACTTATTCTTAATTTGCACTTTCTTGTATAGTTTACTCTTTGATAAATGATAAAATATCTGATATTTTCTCTAATATTATTATAAGTTATTATTAATTTTTATCAGGTTTATATTAATTTTGTCAGAAAAGGTCATTCAAAATTTATTTTCAATATGTGTTTAAAAATGTGTTATCTTTCATTTAAAACAAAGCAAATTCCAATAACTGCAACATGACTTGAGTATTTTGTATCAAATCATTGTTCTTTGAAGTTGATTTTACATTTTTTTTTTATACTGAAATCCAATCAATCTCAGACTTTTAACAACTATTAAATATTGAATAAGTTTATCTGCTTTGTTTCTAACTAGAGATTTTTAGGTTATTCAAAATTTTTTTTGTCGAACATGATTATGATTAAGAATTTAAGAATACAGCATCATGCCATCAGAGTTGGAAGATAAGATACAGACAACTCTTCAAAGTTTGGAAATACGATTATCCGTTGGATAATATTTACAGATATAGTAAATCTAAATAAAAATCATTTGGTGAAAAAACCTGGCCTAAAATGTGATACCCTTTTGTGATATTTAATTTAAATGAAATTTCAAAATTAATGTATGAATAATCACGAGCCTCCTTCAAGTAAAATGAAATTTTAAAATATTTTTTCTGTTAAACTAGGACTCATTATTATATAACATTTCTATTTTCTTTTTACTGAAGCAAGTATTTTGTTTTTCATTTTTAATCATTTCACCCAAAGCAAAGTGATAAATCTACTAAGGGGTTAGTGATTGCAAAAGAATCTGAGAAAAAACATTTACAGTATTCAAGGAGACAGAAGATGATGATTGACATTGCATTTAAATTTTTGAAAATGAAAGTTGATTGGAAAGCAAGAAGCGGGAAGTGAGTTTCACAAATGAGAAGTGTGAGAGAGGAAACTGTTAGCATAGAACTTATGGTTACATCTCACAATTTCAACTGTAAAATCATAATGAGACCAAGCCAATAGTACTGGACTTAAATTCTTAAAGTTGAGGTACCAAAGAGGAAAGTTCTTATATTGAAAAATGACTCAATTTTTACTTCATGCAACATTTAGCAACAAATTTAGTGAAATGCAAAGTATTTTTTTTAATGATTTATCTGCTAAAAGCAATTTTAGTTATAAATTTATGATTACTTTTTCAAAGGCTATTCTAGGCTGATACTAGATTCTTTGGAATCTTGTAAACATTAATTCTGGTTTCCAATATTTATTTTAACATAGATTTCCTTGGTTCAAAATGCATTTTATATCTGAGAAAACTTGTCTACAATATACAACAAATTAATATTAAATTTTATTTATTGTTTATTAGTGATATTTTACATAATGCAAACATAATTTTAGCTTTGACAAAATAAAAAAAATAAAACATCTTATCAATTTTAATATATTATTATAATGCTAATGAAAATAATTTGAATTGAAACTTTTAATATAAATTTGCATGTTACTAATAATATTACCAGGAGGTATCATGTAACCTATGTTCATAATAGTTTTAAAATGGAGATGCGTGATTTTACGAGTTGCTCATTATTTTAAAAACTTAGAAAAAGCTTTTTATGTATAAACTCTTGAAACACTTACATTTTCTTAAAAATCCCAACCCAAAGTATTGCAAATTTACAAAGAAAACTAAATGATCTCATAAGTGTTAGCATCTATTTGGTTAGAGTATATTCAATTTAAACTTTTTCTATAAAATATTTAGTACTGTTCTGTGAATAAAACTGAAGAAATCATTTTTTTTGTTTAAGTAATTGATGTTCAGTATGTATTAAACAAAATAGAATTGGTCAAATAGGACTAATAATAATCTCAGAAATTGTTTGGCTTTGGTAATGTTGTGTGATCTTTAAATTTGAGTAATAAGAATTGATTGCAATTCTCAGATAATTTTCTTCTTTTTTCAGGTGTATACCCATCCCAGTATTGTAATCCTCCTCCTTCACAATCTGATCACCATCAGATAACAGAGATGAGACCCTTAGGACAGACTGTCAACTACCCCAGTGATACAACAATAGTAGCAAGAGGTTTCTACACACCTTACATGAATGAAAACAGTTCCCATGTAGATCCAAAGTCTGACTCAGGTGGTGACAACAATAGTTCATCTGGTAGACATTTATACTCAAGAAATGTATCTGCAAGTGGTAGTCAGTCTTCAATCAACAGACCTCTGCCTCCACTGCCCTCTTAAAAGTCATGAGCCAACATTTTAGTATTCACAGACACTCTGGAATATTTACCCCCCCCCACACACACACACTCTATGCTATTCAAAATTAATACTTAAGACAACTAGATTTCATTAAACATAAACATGAAAAAATGCTTCACTTTCAAATGAAAAATTACAACTTTTAGTTATATTCTTTAGACCAGATTCCTACTTTTGAAAATTCTAAAATTCCATTGTTTTTAAAAACATTTCTTGGTATCCATGTTTGTACTACAAAGTATGACAAAGTATTTTTAATTAATGAAGCCTTCTTTGATTTTATTCTAAGTCAGGATTTGTTTAGATATTATCTAAAAATGAACACATTACATTTTCATTCTTTAAATTAATTTTTCTCATAAACATTTATTTTTAAACAATTTGAATTTCAACAACTAATAAAAGTTTCCATTTAAACCTTACTTTAATTAACTTTTTTGTTGCTATATTTCTAGTTATACAATTTTGTAACACCTGAATTACTCTGACCAATTCATAGATATAAAAAAAATGAAATTGCTATTATTATTTTATAGTATTAATTTACAAATAATAATTATAAAAATGACTTTTAAAATAAACCCTTTTGAAATTTATATCAGTATCAGAACTTGATGACAAATGTATTTGTTCTTATGTTTTCTAGATTACTTTAAAAAATAATGTTAGCATGAACCAGGCTTAACAGAAGGAGGAAAGTAGTGTGTGACGGAAGAATAGCATTTTTACATTGCATTTTGGGAATTTATTTTCTTCTTTAATTTAAATTTACTTTAATATTGATACACACTTCTATTTTTGTTTTACTTTTTCAATATAATATCTATAGAGAAATTTATTAAGAAAAAAATATTTGGATGGTTAAAATTAAGATCTATTGTCACAGTTTGGTTGCCGATACTTTGGTCTGCTCTATAAAGAGTGCTTATAGCAGCCATTTACAGACTACACACTACATAGAACTGCTGGATAGTGTATAAAATGAAACAAAGAACATGTCACTATGGTGGAATAAAAACATCATCATAGGAAGTCTCTATTTGGTGTAACAGCTTTAAGAACAAAGGTAAGTTGCTTTTATCCAATTCTACTATTTTCTATATCTTCTGGAACAAGATTAACAAGATATATATGTGTAAAGTTAAATTCTGAGATATTTAATATCAGTCCTAATGTGAAAAAGATTCATGCATTACATAAATTTAATGAAAATAACAAAATATTGAATATTTCTGTAAAATATTAAGCATTCTGTTTATTGTCTTTTCATGCAGCCTTTTTTATTTCCATATTTGTGTTAGTGATTATTTTAATGATTTTCTTCATGATGATATTTTTATGCATGTTACATGAATATATAGAAATTTATGGTAAAGTTTGAGGAAATCTGTGCTTGTGATTTTTTTTGCCTTGCTATATGTATATATATATATATATATTATATTATATAGTTATTTTAAAATTAAAATGACAATGTTTATCAAGTTATTTTTAAACTTCTGCCTCATCTAATGATCTTTTATGAGGCTATCAAGTTTTTTTTCTATATTTTTTTTTACTTTTTGTATCAGTTGTCTTGTTTCATATTGTTTGAAACTGTTCTGTTTTGTTTAATACAAAAGATACTAGGTATAAAACTATAAATATTATAAGATGTTTACTCCTAGAGTTTGTGTAAAAGATTTATACACACTTATTTTTTTATTTATTGTTCTTTGCGTTTTTTGATCTGTGGCTAATTTTTAATGCCTGCTCAATATGTATATTGAGATTTATTTTAAATTATTATGAACTGTTTTATTTTGTGATTGTTATTCTTTTTAAATTTAATAAAAATTAAAATTATGTTGTTTTTTTAAATATTCATCATCACATATTTAATGAATAAATTAATAATAGCATGAATTAATTTTTGTTCTCAGTTTGAATTCTCTTTTTATTTTATGCTTCTTCATTCAAGACATTTCTATATAGAACTTCACAAAAATTATTTAAACCATTGACATAACTGTTTTCATTTATATTACTCTCATAATATTCGTAAATCTGTTAATTTTATGAAATATACTCTTGAAATTTACAAGATTGCTTATCAGAAATAAAAATGAAATTGGTTTATGATTTTTTTTTTCAAATTACTCATAAATTGATTGCAATTTTTGGTTTCCTCTGTCATAATTGTTATTCTGTTCAAATGATTTTTTACAAGGAATATAGAATTTCATGTAATTAATTTGTTATATATTGAATACGTGCCAAAAATATATTTATCAGTTATGCATGTTGCCTAAATTTTTTCTAACGATTCAGTATTCATTTATTATAATGAAAAATTCATTTATCCATATCTGATGCAATATTATATATTGAAATAATTTTGCAGGAGCACAAAATATTATTACAGCAATCAAATCTGACATGTTAAAAGAACATTTGTAGCAGAGAAGAGGGGTAACAATAATCTATATCAAATTGCTAATATGGAAATATAACAATTAAAAACAGCTAA